ACCATTTGGACCGGATCAGCCGAACATCAAAATTAATCAGCAGTGCAAAAGACAGATGTACACTGTTTTTTTTTTCCAGGACGTGGTTTAGCTACAAGGCTTGGCTAACTGCATGCAGCGAGGCTAATGCTTTATTCTGCTGCATTGACTGCCTGCTTCCTTTTTCAAACATCAGGATCTAACCCAGCATGGATAAAGACAGGTAGGACTGATTTAAAGCACTTTTTAGAGAAGGCAAAAAAGCATGAACAATCTGGGATTACATGGAAAATAATATAATATAGTGTACTTTTTGTAGATGTTTGTTAATGTGCATAGTTGCTCTTAAATAAACACATTCTCAGAAAAGAAATAATTTTTATAGGCTTTATTCTTTTAGGTGTGTGACACCATGCAAAACACAGATTTGCCTTCAAAGTCTCAGAAGGGCAAGCTTTACGCACAAATGTCTGTCTGTGTACGGGATAACTTGAAATGCTCTGGATGGAGTTTTATTAAATTCTTATCAGAGGTGTCTCTCGTGCCAAAGACAAACCTTTCAATTTTTCAGATCATAATCTGGATACAAGAATTAAAAAAAAGATTCTCTAACATTGTGAGATAGGGGTATTTGGTGGAACAAGCATTTCCTCACTAAACCAGAGGGTGGCAGCAGTGACAATATAGCCTCTGCATCTGACTCAAAATGTTGTATTTTACTAAAGACTAAAACACAAGAAAATTGAACCTTGATGGTTTGTTAGCAAGATCAATTGAAAACTTCTGAAAAGATTTTATGGATTTTTTTTTTTTTACCAAAAGGTTTGCTAGTTCAAACTGTTCAAACTCTAACGTTATACTCTCTCTGCTTTTTTCATCATAGTAGCTTCATCTGGTCTGTTCCTGTTTGATTCTGACTCCATCCTGGCGAGAAATATCAGCTGTGTTGCTGACATCAACACCTTTGTTTATAGATGTAGATAGTTGGAGCTTGGCATGTTTTTCAGTGCAGTCCTGTTTCTCTTATAATGACTAACTTTATGTGCTCTCTTTCATACTCTGACATGGGAGCTGGCTCGGAGCTCGTCCGCCTGGCTGTGTTTCCTGGACGGTTGCCTTTTTGTATCTTTGCTTCTTTCTGTATGTCTGCTTCTGTCTCCTTGAACCCCAGTCAGTCTCTGCAGATGGCCGCTCACACTGAGCCTGGTTCTGCTGGAGGTTTCTTCCTTTTAAAAGGGAGTTTCCCTTTCCACTGTTGCAAACAAGTATCCTTAGTATGAGGGATTACCTTTGAATCAATGAGTCGATGCAATCAACTGGTTTTCCTTAGATAGGAAACTTTAAACCAGTATGACTGTATGATCTGGTTGATTTGTCTCTGTAAAGTGCCTTGAGATGACATCTGTTGTGAATTACCGCTATATAAATAAGCTAAATAGAAGATGAACTGAATAGAGGTGTGCCTCATGCCAAGGAACAATTCATTTCAATTTAGTAATGATCCAGATCATAAGCGAGTTGTAGCTCTAGGTCTAAGTCACAGAGTGTGCTGGTTAGTGGCGGTCTGAGCTCTCAGAGTGCTTTTCTAGTGTTTTGCTGTGGACTGTTTTATAATGCATTCATACTGTACATTTTGTTGTTGTTGTGTAAAAAGCCTGGAACTCAACACTAATCCATTTTGAATTGAAAAAGCTTCCTGGATGGGAGGTGAAATGTCTTCAAACTTTGAAAACAAGGTCCAGTGGTTTGTTTTTTAACTTTTTTGGAACAACTATGACCTGGATGACTCCAAATCTTCACCACCATGTTGTTGTCTAATTTATAAAGTATCACTCTAAATGTTTCCAAATTAAGTTTGTTGAAATCATCTTTTGAACAAATGATTTTCTAATAAAAAAAAAATCTTATTTTTTGAGAAAACAGAGGTCAAAGGTCAACGCCAAGCAGAAAAGAATAGGTGGAATATTTTCTAAGAGTCAACACTTTAAACACAGTTATAATATATATATTTCACAATACATCTGTCTGGGTGTTTTACACTGGGTTCTGATTGGCAAACAGCAGATTAGAAGCAAGCGCGCCTACAGATCGCCCCTCCTCTCATGACTTTTCCTCTTATATTCACTGTCTCCTACCACCCTGCTTTCATAAACACTCACACACACACACACAGAGACTCGCGCATAACCCTCTGCTCGTGTCCCTTAAGTGTCTGGATCACAGATAATAGAGCATACGACCTGCGGGGGGCTTACAAAAACATAGCGCTGAGAGTGGGAGCTTCGCACATGAGGAGGAAAGGAGGAAAGAGGACCGGAGCCACACACACACCGCCCGGGCCAAACGAGGGGGGACGCACAGGACCTCTCAACTTTTACGCACGAAGACAGAGTTTTGCGCACAACTCTAAAGAGCGTCAATTTAGTGAATAGGCAGGCATAGAGAGTTATGTGTGGATGCCTGCACCCCTGGGGATTTTTTACTTGTCTGCTGCAGGCCTTCTGGTTGAAATAAAGAAATAATCTAAGTTGATGACTTAGAGTTTTGGAACCAATCAGTTGGATGGAGACGGACTTTCAATGAAGCAAACCCGAAGAATATAACTAAAAAAAGTTATTTACTTGAAGCTAATTATTTTTTGAAGATCAGTAATAGTTATGCCCCGTCCTGGGAAAAACTCCTACAGCGACCAGAAGCCTCCTTACTCCTACATTTCCCTGACAGCGATGGCCATCCAAAACTCCCCCGAGAAGATGCTGCCTCTGAGTGACATCTACAAGTTCATCATGGATCGCTTTCCATACTACCGAGAGAACACCCAGAGGTGGCAGAACTCCCTCCGACACAACCTCTCTTTCAACGATTGCTTCATCAAGATCCCCCGGCGGCCCGATCAACCCGGGAAGGGCAGTTTCTGGGCTCTCCACCCGGACTGCGGTGACATGTTTGAAAACGGCAGTTTCCTGAGGAGGAGGAAGCGCTTCAAAGTGCTGCGCGCTGAACACATGACCTGCAAGAGTTCCCCTATGATGCACTACTTCCACCATCACCATCACCACCACCCGGGCAGCAAGCTGGGCGCGCCACCGACTCACCCCGAACACCCGGCCGCCCCAGCAGGTGTGGCCCGGCTCCCTCATTTCCAGAGCTACGGTGGGATTACCTGCGCGCAGCCCGGCGGGTTCAAACACCCGTTTGCTATCGAGAACATCATAGGCAGAGACTATAAGGGGGTGGTGGCCGGAGGACTTCCTCTCACCTCTGTTATGCACCACCTGGGTTACCCGGTGCCCCCTCAGCTTAGCAGCGTGGTTAACTCCATGTGGCCGCACGTCGGCGTGCTGTCAGAGTCCATAAGCGGCGTGCCCATGCCCGCTCCATCCTCAGAGTATGCGCCCTTCAGTGTGTCCACAAAGGGCCTGTACCACAGCGCCGGCGGACCGAGCCTGCCCGCGGTCCCGGTCCCCATAAAGCCAACCCCATCTCTGGGTCCCATGCCGGGTCTCACGGGGCTGCAGACCGGTCCGACCCAGCTCTGCTCTCCCGGGTCGGTGATGGATAAGGGCGATCTGCTGGAAGGGAAAGGAGCCCCGCTGCACCCGGCTCTCCTGCTGTCCTAACCGGGTAAAACCGCGGCTTCATTTCAGCTCTTTTTCTGCTAAACAAATCAAAACAGGCCTATCAGAGAAACCATCTCAGTATCAGCTGTTGTAAGATATAAAAAGTGTACCCTGTAAGTCATTTTTTTCATTCAGACGTATGTTTATAAAAAAAAAAAATCTCAATTAATTTGCACACTTTGCAAGGGCATTTCTACCACTAATGTGGCGAATATAATCAGACAAGCAGAACCCAAAGAAAGCGATCATTTAAAAGACTTTCCTAAATGCAAAATAACAAATGTGTCTATTTTTTGCTGTCCTTCTACTTGTTTTAATGTAAATAACTGCAAATCTGTTGGTTAAAGTAAACGTGGGCCTTTGTGCTTAAAAAATAATCAGGCCTTTGCACTTTTTTTGTCTGTTACTTAGTAGTTTATTCAATATGTTATGTCTGTATTATAATGCTATTTACCTGAAGATATTTATAAAGAATTTGGACCCATATCCCGACTTTTGGATTTTTTTCACCCACAGACTTTTGTTTTACATTTTTGCACTGAAGGATTTCACACACAATTAAAATAAGTTAGATTCCTCTAAAAAATATATTTTTTTAAGATAAAGGAATATGTGTGACATTAAATGGGTTCTAAGGAAAGGTGTTTGTATTTTCATATAATAGCTCTGACTAAACTAGATTGACAATGTAGTCAAGAATGTGGTAAATGTTTAAAATATATTTTTTGAAGGGGTTTTGTTTGCTTAAATATTAGTTAAATAAAGTTAAATCAAAAACAAAGTGTTCTCTTTAATGTCAAATTTATCTGTAATTTAGCACCTGTATTTTGTAAGAACAGTTTTATTGCAGGTTTTCCTTTCTTAATAATAACAAATCAATGAAGGAAAATAAAGGAGATAAAGGAAAATGAAGAAACATACAAGTGAAAGTTTAACTTAAAAAATAATCATGCATTTATTGAAATTGAAAAAAAAAAACATCATATGTGATACATTTTTTAAAGCAAATTTCAGATTCTGAAACTATCTTTAAAAAAAGAAAACAAATAGAAAGAAGTCCTACTCTGTCAGTTAAACTTCTGTTTAAAATAAAATAAAACTTAACCTGAGTGAAATGATACCGCCAGCCTCAGTGTTCTCATAGGTGTGACCCCAGTCTGGGCATTTTGGGCTGTGAGAGCTACAGTATAAGATCCTGATCTGACTGAACTGAGGAGGCAGCGACACACTGCATCACAGCTCTACCATCTTCAAAAGCAGAAATGGTGGTGGTGGGGGGGTAGGATCAAGTTTGCTCTTTTGTTTGCTCTGTTTTAATGAAGCTTTGAAGCCTCTCCACTCCAGTAACACAAAGCCTCAGGTTCATCCCACTGAAAGTGACTTATATTTAACCTCCTGTCCTCCTGTTTAGCATCCCAAAGGCACCCACCGCCGACACTATTGTCACACCAGCCTCTGAACAAATAATTGAGATTCACCAGTGGAGGAGATGCGTAGGAGTGAAGAATAAGGACATATTTGTCAATCAAATTACGTTTAGAAAAAAAATCTCTTTATTCCACTGATGCTTACGCTGGATTTATTTTTTACCTTCCATCTCTTCCTCAGGTTGAGTCTAATATACATACAAACACACACACACATGTTCTCTGTAGGACGCTGGTAATTTCTAGTTAAAGGGAAGTGATATTTGAAAATGTGTGGGTGTGAAGATGTGTCTGCATGAGTGTATGTGTGTGTTTGAGTTTCTTTAATTCCCTGATCAGCAGGTCTCAGTGTCTTTAATAGCCCTCACTGCATTAGCACATAATTAAATGCCACTAATTAAGACACAATAAGAGGAGTAATAATGCAGCCATTACTACCCTCCATGATCTTCAGTCTTCACAACAGCAATGTCGTATGCTTCTGGAATCATAATATCACACAAGGTCTCCTGATGGGCACATGTGTTGACACGCAGGGTAACAGGAGCTGTTTATTGCATGCATAAATATAGGTCTCCTGAATTTACTGACTTAAAATCATATTGTTGAGCAGCCTCGGTGCTGTTTTTTTGTTGCACTCTTTCACATACATAACTGTATGTTTTTAGATAGAAAAAAATATTGATTCCTATTTTCTTCCCTAAATAAGACATTTAATTTGTTAAAAGAACATTTGTTTGACATGTGTACTTCTCTATTCTCTGAGGCTAAGGCAGTCATTATGGGAGGCATGGGGCTCATGTTTCCCATTGATATGAACTATTTTGAAGTCATAGTGTAGATTTAAGAGAAAAAGCACCACTGTTTTATGTTAGTTGTTTTATTAAATAGTAAACAAAAGAAAAGAAAAGAAAAGAAAGCAGTTTTTTTGATAAGGATCTAACAGTATGCACATTTCTTCTTCTTTGCTTTAATTTTTTTTCTTTATAATAAGAAATAACAGTACAAGTGTATGCTTTTTTTTGTTCAACTGTGTAAAAAAGTTTTATTTAAACAATTCTTGAATAAAAGTATAGTTTATATTATTATAATTTTCACAACTATAATTATTATTATGGTTATTTTTATAAGTCGAGGTAATAAAATAACCATATAGTGGTAATATTTTTAATCATCTCATTCAATTTAGTTGCATTTTCTGTCCAACCTAATGAGTATTTCTTCTTTTATTATAATCGATCCATCTTAGGTTATCCCGTTTCCTCGAACTTGTTTCTCAATAAGATTTCCTATATAATTAAAGCAATATATATATATATATATATATATATAT